CGATTCCCCCCCCCCCCCCCGATCGCATTCACACACGGCTCAACATTGTACCGAGCGTCTTGCGAGCGCGCCTTGTACGAAGGAAAAGTGGCATTGGACTCAGCCCAACGGACAGCGTCGACGGTTGTGGCCGTACTCCTTGCAGTTGCTACATCGTGCACTGCCCTTGCCCGAGCTCGGTGGCTGTGCCATCCCCACTCCTGGCGCTGCTGTCACGGGGGTACTGACGACCGGGACAGACTGCGGTCGCATGGGCGAGCCCAAGCCATTCACCCTGGTCCTATCCTCGTCGCCACCGGGTGCCTTGCGCTTCTTGCGCGCGGCAGGCTGCAGCCTCGCCTCGGCCCGCAGCCGCATCGCATCCAACTCGGCATCGAGAATCGCCCGCCCCGCCGCATCCGAGCGATCGTACACGCCGAGGAGGTTGAGCATCTGGCGCTCGAACGAGACCTTGGGCCCCGACCCCGCCGCGTCGCTGCCCATGGCGCCATTGGTGAGCACCAGGTCCGAGCCGAGCTCGTATGCGCCGTTGGCAGGCGTGGGTGTGCTGAGCGTCGACGGCGTGGCGAGCATGAGATGCGCAGAGGGTCCGGCGGCATTGACGAGCAGATCGGGCGTGGGCGTCATAGTCGTCTGCTGGCGTGGCTGTTGTGCACGTCGGACCGCTGGCTGGCTTGCGTTCCTGCCTGCACTCGCCGCATTGGACGCGCGCGCTTTACCTTGCGTCGTCGTCGCCGCCGTCGTTGTTGCTGGCGTTGGGGTGGCACTCAAATTCGCCGCCTGGGCGACCGCATTGGCGGCCGCATTGCCCGCCTGCGGAGCGCCCGGCGACTCGTGCGCCTTGCGCTGGTTCTTTATCCTCCGCACCTGACTCGGCAGATTCTCGCGGTCCGTCTCCATGGCATGCTTGTGTCTGCCCTCCAGAATGCGCAGCTCCATCTTGCCCGACTTCCAGTTCTTGGTGCACTGCACGCGGAAGGGACATCCGATCTTGAGCGAGCCGCGCTTTCGACGCTCCTTGTCCTTGGGGATCGGACGCTTTTTGGTGTTGGGTGTGCCGTCCGGATTGAGCGATTCGGGAAAGCCGCCGCGGTAGCACGACCAGCAGATGCGCGTCTGGTTGTTGGCCGACCACTGGATGCGGATGTCGAAGCCCTGCGAGAGCGCATAGGTGTGCATGTAGTTGCTCGCGCTCTCCAGATTGTCAAAGTCGAGCTCGAGCGGCATGGATGGCGGAGCGATCAGCCCTTCCGCATCGGGGACCCCCGGTGGCACGGAGCTGGATGCCTGCTGTGCCACTTGCGCCTGCTGCTGCTGCGTTTGGAGGGGCGCATGGGCTGCAACGGCTGGCTGCTGAGGCTGCGAATGCGATTGTGCTTGCGGCGGCTGTTGTGGTGGCTGTGGAGGCTGCGGTTGCGGTGTGCCGTTGTTGGGTGAGGGTGCCATGGGGAACGAGTGGGACGAGATGCCGCTGCCCAGCAGCGACGTGTTGGTCGTCTGGCTAGCATTGGCGCTGTGTCCATGCGCGTAGGCGAGCGGCAGGCTTGCATTGAGGAAGCTCGGATGGTGCGCACTCGCGTGTGTAGGATGGTACGACATGACGAACGTCCAGATTCAGCGCGACGCGGTGCTACGCGGTGCTACGCGGTGCTACGCAGTGCTATGCGGTATGGATGGACCGAGGGTATCAGCAGGCGAGAGTCATGAGAGAGAGTTGGCGCGCGCCTCGCTCAATGTGCGATGCGGAGTGCGATGCGGAGGAAGATGCGGAGGAAGATGCGATGGTGCAAAGCTGTCGTCGTCGGACTGACTGGCTGGACCCTGAGCGTCGAGGTGGGTGGTGGGCGCGAGGAGGATGTCGGTGGGGTCGGTCGGGACGATGTGCGGTGCGTGCAGCTCGAGCCAAGAGAGCTTGCGGCTTGGCGCCAAAGCTCGAATCGGATCTCATCGGCTGTGGACGGTTCCTCATCACCGATTTTTCTCATTTTCGCTTCCTCTGTTCGAACGATTGTGCTAACATTTCTCAAGTACGGCATTCTCGCATGTCCATCCGGAAGGTGACCAGAGATAAGGGCCCCGTAACTGCACGCTAATGTACCGCCGGCACGGATGCCTCTGAATGGAGCTAGCGGGGGGCGCGGTGGGCGTGCAGATCCACCAGCCATCTGTCGATCGCGTATGGGCGAGGCGAGAAGCGTGCATGTTGCAGCGGAACTGGAAGGCAGAAGGCAAAAGGCACAAAGGCCATGCCCTCGACGGCCGAAAGGCACATGCTGGTTCGGAGGCGAGCTGCAGCTGAAATCTTCGGTGCATCCACAACACCACCCGGCCCTCGCCTGCTCGGCGTCTTTCTTTTCTGACGGCACGGTGCGCGCGCGCGGCGGCCGATCGAGCAGGGACGAGGCATGAGGCTGTGCATCCCAAAATCGCTCGGCTGGCAGAAAAAGTGACAGCGCGCAAATGCCAAAAGAGCCCGAGCTTGTCTGCGCATCGAAAGCGTGGTCTGCGCAACGCTGGTCCGTCACCCCACCCTCAGGCTCGTACGCTTGCCCTGCGTCGATCGGCGGTGCGTTGGCGGTGCGTTGGATCCAAACGCTGAGCATGGTGAGCATGGATCGAGTCGAGGGAGCGGCCTGCAGTGGCAATCGAAAGGGCGGCGCTGATGCACGACTCGGCTGCAGCGAGCCGCCGTGCATGGCCATGCGATGCCGCCGGTTGCGAGCCGTTGATTATTCTTTTTCCCTTCGAGTGCCGCTCCGAGACGCCCCTCGGATGTCCGATGTGCCCAAGATCACAACAGCAGTGTTGCCGCGCTGTCATTTGACTCCCCTTTCATGCCGCCGATTCGCTTCCTGCAGCACCGTCCGGCCGTCCATGCTGCCTCGCCCCTTACCCTGCCGCTGCCTCACCGCGTCGGGCTTCGAATCCTGCCCAGAGCCATGACGAGAAAGGGGGGACGGCGCGCACAAATCCAAACTCGCCCCGGCTTGCGTGTGGCGAGATGGCCTCGAGATGCGCTGCGTGTTTGTGTGCGCTCGAGATTTGCGCGAGAGCGGCGTGCGCCCCTGTTGCCGCTCGGCCGCCGGCTTGCACTCCTCGCCCGCCTCGTTCGCTCCGCCCCGCTCTCCTCAAAAGGCTGGTCGAGTCGGCGTCGTGCTTCTTGTCCTTTCCCCCTCAATCCTTGTCTCTACCCAAAATCCTCCTTTCTCCCTGGTGCCTCTTCGTCAGGATGCTCTTCACCAAGGCCGTTTCGTCGCTCGTGGGTGCCGGTGCGCTTGCTGCTGCTGTGGTGCATGCCCAGAGCGTGCCCGCCTTCACTTACGGCACTCCCAGCGCCGACTATCCTGGTGTCAAGTCGACCAACCGCAATGGCCCCACCAACCCTGCGTCGCCGCAGCTCAACACGCCCATCAACCAGACCTCGGTGTCGCGTCTGGCCTCGATCAACTCGATCGACGACTGGTGCACCTTTGGCCCGCCCGGAACCGGTCAGCCTCTGGCCGACGTTGAGGAGATCACCGTGGCCTACTGCACCAAGCCGCGAAACAACGCGCGTGTCATTCCGGACGGCAGCGTGACCGGAGCGCACTTTGTCAAGACGCCGCTCTACGTTCAGCTCATGGCCGTCGGCGACTTCACCAGCATCGGCTTTATGGCCGGTGACGAGGGCGGAGAGCTCGACCCCCACGGTGCCACCAACATGGGTAATCCCGTCGGCGGTAATGTCACCTCCAACGTCTCGGGTGAAGACGTGTTCTACGAGGAGTGGATGAACTACGCCTCGTCCAACCAGATCTGCTTCCGCGTCTGCATCGCCGGCTCCGAACAGGCCCCCACCGCACTCGAGTGCCAGCACACGCTCGACGTCATGGGTTGCAACTTTGTCATGCCCGGCAACTACGCCGAC